CACAGTGGCAGTGTGCAAGATGGACGAGAGAAACCCATGTTTCCACCACCCCATCATCCCACGAGCAATACACATGTCATCGCTGCTACGAACCTCTTGCAGACGAGCGAGGGCAGTCTGAAGTGCAGGACACTTGGCGAGCAAGCGTAGCTGGCTGGCACTGGCAAGGACAGAGAGATTCGGGAACTCGATGCTAATGCCCAGGCTGCGCAGACCCATGAGCATGTGCTTAGAGAAACTGTGACGTGGAGCAGCATTCAGCAATTGCATGGCCCCATCATTCGCAGCCAACAATGCAGGCGATGGTGGATAGCATTGAAGTGTGAATTGGAGCTTGGATAGAGCAAGACATTGATAAGATGAAATAGAGAGAGGGAGACCAAACCCTTGCTGTCGGATGGCACGAAATCTGGCAGTAAAAGCAGGCAACACTTCATCCCATGCATACTTGTATGCCTTGGGGCCTATGAGGATGCCGAGGTACTTACAATAGTGAGCAATCTGCAGCAACGCGAAGGGCTCACCTAGATCCTCGCAGAGCCTGATAAACACGTTCATCTTAGTATCCCCGACCAGAAGGACCACACATTTTTTGAAATTCAGGTAGAGGCCAACCATGGGCCCAAGCAGGGAAATATGAGCAAGAACCCGAGGGAGCCCAGCGAGCACGTTAGGGAGCATGATGAGCCAATCATCGGCGTAGGCCAGCATACGGTGAACATAGCTACCACTCTTCCAGATCAGCCAGCGCATGATGGGGTCAGTACACAATGCAAACAAGATCATCGATGCGGGGTCCCCTTGCCGCACCCCCCGTTCAATCATAATCTGGACAATCCGACGGCCTCCGAGAGTAACCCAGCCCGTGTTCGAGCGATAAAGCTCCTGGAAGAAAGCGATGATGGCAATAGGGAACCCCATGCGGGTTAAAACGAATATGATCCAGCTGATGAAGACCGACGGAAAGGCCGCCGAGAAATCCGTCAGGAGCTCGGCTGCATGCTTACTACCAGTCCCCCATTGCTCCATTCCCCACGCCTCAGCCTCGACAATGTTAGTCAACATATCCCTCCCGCGGATCCCCCCCTTCTGTTCGTCCAATACAGTAACAGCAGCAACAGAGCAGAGCGGCACAGACATGGCGAGCGATAGGCACTTGCAATCGGTGTCCGAGAGGGCCAGTGGGCGCGTCGCAGCCGGGGCCCGTACTGCACCGGAGACAGCGTCCGACGGGCTAGTACCCTTCGGGAGGAAAACGAGCAGCATCTCACGCATGCTGTCGGGCATGTCTACACTGTTGTTGTGGTATAAGTGTGTATAAGCACCATATAGAATTTCCAAGGCAGGTGTGCAACGCCAACATGAGTATGGTATACCATCGGGCCCAGGGGCAGTGTTTTTGCGACCGAGCATCAGATCGTCGAACGTGTTTTGGTCCAGGAAAAAGGTGGGCTGAACCTCAAGCTCGGCAATCTTCGGGATAAACTGGCCAACCTCCTCCCACAGAGACCTGTCTTCAGGTACATGCTTAAATACTTGCCCCCAGTGCGCAGCAAGAGCAGCGCCTGATTCGTCAATCGAACGGCAGGGTTCGCCGTCCTCGTTAAGAACACCTAGCAGAAAAACTCGACGACGAAGCTTACTCCACATCTCTTTCTTACGCCTCCACCTCCCCGCCTGCCTCTGAATCCATGCCTCCTCCTCCAGGCTCTTTGCGACGAGGGTCTCCAACCCGTTCAAAGTCTCCTGAATCGTGGCCTCCTGTAGTGCACGCGCGTGCTCACACAGCTGCGGAAGGTCATTACAGGTTTCCGTCTCAACGTCGAAGAAGGGCAGAAGATCGGGGTAAGTGCGGAGAGCAGTGATACACATAAAGAACTTGCGATATCGCACACCACGAAGTGCATGCATAGTCCAATAATGTTTCTCGGCACAGGTGCGCGCACGACGGTGCTTAATCTGCTGACGGGCGGGACCAACCTGCTCAACAAAAATCTTCTTGGCAACTTCCAGCCGCACTAGTGGATGCCAAGAGTCGGGGATATCCTGCAGCAGCTGCCAGGTAAGCAGCTTATATTCAGGAGAGTTAGCCACGAAAAGAGGAATAGCTGGAGCAGACTTGGTCGGGTCGAACTTCTGAAACGAAATAATAAGCGGCCGATGGTCCGAGGGTCCAGAACGATCCAGGCTGCCCCACACTTTCGCTTGCATTGTATAGTCCTGGAGGAGGGGGCTGGGGAGGTCCGAGTAGATCCTGTCCAGACGCGACGAATGAGATTCACGGGAATTGTTCCAGCCTTGCCTCGTGGGTTCCTCCTGGGCAAACTCGATCCAGGAACTACACAGAGCACGGAAAACATCATGATGTAAGCGGTCCCCACTGTGCCAAGAATGCCCATCATCTCCCATCCTTCCTTCCTCCTCAAGGGTAAAATTCCAGTCCCCAGCAATCAAGTTGAAAGAAGCAGTGGCAGGCGGCAAAGCGTTACAGATATCACCCAAGATGCGTCGATACAGAGGCGTCCCATCACCAGTATTAGGCATATGGCAATTAAGAATGCACAACATGGTACCACGACCAATGCACCGAGTAAGAAGCACACGACCAGGGACAACAGGAGAATGAGAGATAGAGGTGAAAAGCTGGGCAAGCTGCTCATGTACGATAGTCATGACACCTCCAGTGTTAGCTTCCGCATGCGTAGAATATCCTATGGAGCACCCTCGAAGCTGCGACTGGAGCTCTTCTATGTCCCCAAGATGGCCATGAGTCTCTTGCACACAGACGACGCTGTGACGAGTGGCCAATTTCAGGAGCTGAGAGTAACGACGTGATGCACGAGGTCCCCCACCACCCACAGCAGTAAATAGACAATGAGAATTCCAACTGACGATAGAGAAACTGTTGATCGGGATGTACGGCATAGTGGGAGCAGCAGCAACAGCAGGGGAGATGGAACTAGAGTTGGAAGAAGAGCTGCTAGACGAATTAGAAGAGCTGTCAAATCTACTACTGCTACTACAACTACTATCAGAATCGCTGCTACTAGACGAATCAGGAATACAGTTTAACCAGGGTTCTAATTCAGACTCACTATCATGGCCATCTTCGGACGGGTCAAAAGGGACGCCTGAGAGCCACCTTCGCTGCCTCGAGCAGCGAGTCTGCATGGGCCTCCAGCCCAAATTCGGGAAGTGCTGAAGTTTCTAAGTCCACGTGGATCTCGTCCGAAACGTCACTTGGCGTCAGGTGGGCGACGCGCACGGGGTCCTCCTGGCTGCGGAGCACGTAGATGTCCCCGCCCAGGCCGTTCGAGCCGACAGAGTAGTTAGTAGCATGAAGGATGGTCTCGATCTTGTTGCGCATCTTGCCCATCGCCAAGAATAAGCGTCGGCTGCGAAGATCCAGATCGCGCCGAAGTTTGAGAGAGAGGATGCCTCCACGAGGGTCGGGAAACGTAGTGTTGGGATCGAAGTTGCCGAGGAAGTCGCTGGCCTGCAGCGCGTCGCCGAACTCGAAGATAGCCTTGCGATTCATATCAAATGCCTTGATGATGCACTGCCCGTGGTTGCCTTGTGGCATCGCCTGCAAGCGGACCGCCTCGGCCGCTCGGCGCAAAGTACTGGCCATCATAGGCCTCGGGAATCCCAGAAGAACCAGCCTGCATGCACTCTCCTGCTGCGATGAAGTACGTGATGATGAAATCCGAGTAGATCCTGAGGCAGCCGCCGAGCGCGAAGATGATGGGCTAAGTACCCGCTGCCGACGATGTGGTGGCTGCTCCTGGTCCTGCACGTGTTGCTGACTGCCCATGGTCTCAATCTTCTCCTGGATCTGATTGATAGTGGCCTCGAGCTGCAGAATCTTCTGGTTGCGCTGCGACGTGAAGTCAGCTGCATCTATGGAGTCCTCAGCCTCAGTCTGAACCGCCTCCATGCGGGCCTCCAAGATGTCGAGACGTGCTGCCGCTGCACTGATGTCGGAGCCCATCTGTTCGAAGCTTTGGTTGACCGAGTTCTGCATGTCATTCATGCGGGAGTTCATGCTGGTCATACCATTGAGCAAGGTCTGCGCCCACGCAGGAGTGGCCTCGCCAGCTCCAGCCATGGCCGCGATGCTGGGAGCGCGAGTGGGGAACAGAGCCTGTGGTGGAGAAAGAGGACGAGTAGCTGCACCCGCCGAGCTGCTCGACCCAGAAGTTGCGAACCGCCAAAGCTAATCGCTACGCCTCGGGCGTCTATAGCCCTTCGTAACGTTTAGCTTGAGCCAAAATGGCTACGGATGATGACGATGATGATGATGATGATGATGATGATGATGATGACGATGATGATGGTGGGAGGAGGGAGGAGGGGGAGGAGGAGAGGAGAGGAGAACGCGGGGCGACGTCTCTTCAAAACGAGGACCCAACACCACAGGATGGCTGGGAAAAACAGATGCGGCCTTGTCGCCGGGCGCGTCCTGGAGGCTGCGGCCTCGCGACGGGGGCAATCGTGCAACATCGGAGGATGCACGAATCCTGGTCTTGCCGCCCTGCAAGCCTCTGGTGCGCCCCATCACTCCCAAATGCCCCAGACCTGCCACTGTGCCGAACGGCCTGACAAGGCTCCAGGACAGCCGCAAACGACCCTGACGGACCATGAGCGCCCGAAGACGGCCCCCATGACAGACTCCGAATGCTCCAGGAGGCCCCAAAGGAGGCCCACAAGGGCCCCAACAGAGCCCCGAGAGATGCCGAGGCACTCTGGACCGCGTTTGCCCCCAACCAATCGTCACGATACTGCTTCGCATCCAGTGCTCCATACATGTGCATAAAAGAAGGTACCACAGAGCCTCGGCAATCGTGCTTGAACACTTCGTTCAGACTCGTCTACTCAAGACACTGTACCTGGTCCGTACCCTTCCACTTCTACCCTCACATCAGATCGGAAGGCATGGGCTGCCGCATTCGACTCTACATGTCTAGCAGAACTCGACCACGTAGACCACACGTCCAAACCCCTGTCCTTGTCAAAGGCGAGGAGGTCGAACGAGCCCGTGTCCATGATGCCCCACAACTGTTGCCCTGCTATCGTAATCTGCCCGTCGTACTCGACGTTGCCATAGTTGTGCAGAATCTGCTCATATTTCACTCCGTGAAGCCTGCCCGTGCTCTGGCGCAATGGAATCGGGAGAGAGCTATGTGTGCAATGGTGGCGAAAATCAACTACAGAAACTAGGGCCAATCAACCTGGGTATACTGTGACACCCATGTGGCATGGGTGGCAAATGGGAGGACATGGGGGACTCAAGGATTGCAGAACACCATCCCGTCGCGACGTCACAATTTCGAATCGCAGCGTCCGCGCTCAGCCGCAAACAAAAAACACAAGGTGTGGCAACCATGCCATCAACCCGTACTCCGCACCAACACTTCCATCCAACCCCCATGCCCCGACAAAATGCAAACGCAACTCCGCTAGGATACTCCCGCAGCAGGTGTGCATAATCCACCAACTCCCCTTTCCAATGTAGACTTTGTGTTCGATGATGCTCCTACGCAGTTGTGCTTCGGCACTTCCCGGCATTGGGCCCAACGTGTGCGAATTCCACTTCAAACCTCCAAGCTTAATGCTACAATGCCAAAAGACGAACGGGTATTGGAGATGCCGTGGAACTCCCTCTATCAGCCCCTCCCGCCCCCAGACCCGCCATTCCCTCTCATAGCGCCATGGCGGATCTGCCCAACAACGCAACCGTATCGCTAAGGCTGTGTCGCAAACCCCGGGCCTGCCAGCCTGCACGCTGCTTGCCCTGACCAACATATGTACTCCAGATTTCGTAATAAAAGGAAGGGGGTCTGGACCCTCCAAGACAAGCCATTTCAGACCTCCCCCGTGGGAGAACCCTCCAAAACATCGTCCCCAGACCCCCCCAGGCCCTCCAAGATAGCCTGGAAGAGACCCCCCCCGAAATGAGACCCCCCTCCCTTTATTATGAAATCTGGAGTATGTTCTGCACCTTCCTGTTCCACCCTACTCTCGCCTGTCTGTCCGCGTCTTCTGCTTTCCTCGTCGCTTCCGCTCCTCTCTCGCTCTCGCTTCGGCGCTCTCGCACCCCGCGGCCCCTGCCAGGCGCGCGGCTGTCTCGCTTTCCCATCCTGGGGATCCCACCGGGGTGGCGAGACGCGCAGCTCGAAGCGAGACCCTGCCCTCCTCGTGATGGGCGCTGCCAGACGCGCATCCCTCGCCACCCTGCTGCGCCCCCAGAGAGGGGGGCTCAGCGGTGAGGCCGCGCGCGCAGGATGCAGGCGGGACCTCGCCCCCCCTGGGTGCCGCTGGGCCTGCGGCTGCCGCCGCTTCGCTTCGGCTGGCGAAGAAGCAACGGCACAAACATGCACGTTCGACGGTCCGACCGGCTTTCTCGGATCCGCGCTGGACCTCCTCCATGGGCGCGCGGCGCGCGCCAGGGGCGGCGCCGTGGGCGCCGCCAGGGGAGCCCTGCGCCGATCCAAGCAGCCCGCGCGGAACTCCGACGGCCGACGCGTGTTCCCCAAACGCTGCTGGCATCGGGGGGCCCTTTTTTTGTCTGTGTTCGATGGAGCTGGGCCTGGGGGTCGGTCTGGCGGCTGTGTTGTCGCCGTCGCCGCCCCGTCGCCGCCCCGTCGCCGCCCGCCGTCTTGGGCCCAGGGGTCACTTTGGCAGCTATGTAGTCGCTGTCGCTGCCCCGTCCCATCGCCGCCGCCCCGTGGCACAACAAAGACTGCACCACATCGGTTGCACCGGGTCGATTGAACCACATCGACTGCACCACATGGTTTAGCCAACACAAGTTGCACAGCATCGGTTGCACAACGTAGATTCCCCATTGTTCAGGGGATAATAGGACCACCCCCTAGAATTAATGGTATATTGTTTCGTGTTGCTATGTGTATGCGTTTCTGCTCCATCGCCCATCCGGAATCTGGATCCATACCATCCCATCTGAACGGGGAAACATTTTAAATCCTCCGCAACAGATCCTATGCGCGCGCACTCGTTCATCAAAACCGATGTGTTTCAAGAACCTGTGCAACAACACTACGACGTGCACATGTACGCGTCGTCGCGCGCGCATGACGGCACCCTTCAAAAACCCCGGGTTCCGAAACGATGTTGGAATCAAGTGTCCCGAATGTGTATACAGATTACAGATGCACACATGTGTGTATCTATGTGTACAAATGCATATACCTGTATACTTACATATGGGTATATATGTAGATATGTATTCATGTATAATGTCAAAAACGAAAAACCTGCGTTCGCGATCTTGTCGATTCTTGCGGTAACCGTGACGTTGCTCGACCGTTTTCCGTTACACGCTACCGCAAGTGATTATTTTTTCGCGCGCGCATGTCGAAACTGCTCGAACGCGCTTGCACGCGTGCTGTCGTTGGAACCCCTTTGCAACAGATGGGACGAAATGCGCACGGACGCGTCGCCGCGCGCGCGCATGCGGCAATCCTTCAAAAACGTTAGGTTCCGCAAGGGGGTCCAAACCGAGAGCCCCGGGTAAATAAACGAAAAGACACGCGTCGCGTTGCACCATCAACTTCCCCCAAAACGCCTGCCTTCGCCTTCCTGCGACGTGATCATCAAATTCGGCCAAGCGGGCCTTCGCGCCGCATGCCGAAATCATTCGAACACCAATGCGTGGCTGCTGTGTGGCGGGGTGGGGGACACGATCCGTGTAAAAACAAACTACGCAGGACACTGTCGCACGTCGGCCCCGCGCGCGAAAGTCGAACTCTTGCCAAAAGCTTCATCACCGACGCGAGGACACCGTCAGTGTCGTCGGCGTCGTCAACATCGACACCGTCACTGGCCTTGACGGCGTCGTTGCCACCATAATCACCAGCATCGCTACGACCATCATCGTGTCTACCGTTGCCGACGCTGCCGTGATACCACCGCGCCCGCCAAAGCCGCCGACTCGCACTGAAGTGCCAGCTGGCAAGTGCCCAGCGGTCAGCGCCACCGCGGCCGCGTCGGTCGCGCCGAACTAACTTGCCGCTTCGCGCGCGGGCATGCGCGGGCTAGCGCGACCGCAGAGGTGCACCAGGCAATGCAGAGCATTCAGCGCTATCGCCGCCGAATGAGTTTGACAAGCCAAGTTGCGCGCCCGGCGGGGTGGTTGCGCGAGCAGTGGAATTAACAACTCACTGCGAACAACAACTGATTGCACCACATAAATTTCTCCACGTAGATTGCACAGCTGATCTGGCCCCACGTAGAGTGCGCAACGTATACTGCTCCTCGTCGATTGCGCTACATTGAATGCACCGCATAGCTTGCGCAACCTAGATTGCACGCGTGCGTTCCACCATAGATTGCTCCGCATGGATTGCTCCACATAGATTGCTTGTAACACACTCTTGGGGGCCCACGATGGCCAACGTGCAGTTTGTGCCGCTTCGAGCTGAGCGTGCGACTGCCGCCGTTGTTTTGCACCAGTGGAGCGCACACTGGAACGGAAGCGCACGCAGAACCGAACGGAACTTTGCCCCCCTTGGGTGCCGTTCAGCACGGAGGCGTCGCCGCTCTCCTGCGCCTCCAAGGAAATCCAGCGGCGTCGGACGTCGCGCCACACCCAGATCCGAACGGGACCTCGCTCTCAACTGGCCCTTGCGGGCCATCGGGACCGTCAAGACACGACTAGGGATGAAAAGCCAGTCCTGGGGCATGGTCGAGATCTCGGGGGGTCCACGTCATGAAGAAATCATGTCGGGGGTCTGGGGAAACAGATGCCGCCAACTTGCTGCACCTCTGGGGGATCCAATGGAATAGGCAACTGTACGCAGATCCACACTGGACCGCGCCCTTCCGTGAGCGCGGCAGTGCGAGCCGCTGCCGCCGCACCTCTGCGCCCACGGACGGGGTCCCACAATGTGCGGGGGCCGCGCGGTCCTGCGCCGTGCTTGCCGCCGACAGAGCTCACCGCCACAGCCGGGGCCGAGCTGCTGGTACGACGGCGAATGCCTCGCTCTGCGAGGTGGCTCTCCCGATTTCGGCCCAAAGGGGGCCTCCCGCGCAGATCAAGGCGGGATCTTGCCCTCGCCGGCGCGCGGGATGCCGAGCGTATAGCTGCCGCCACTCCCCTTGCGCCCACCTTGGGGGCCCACCAAACTGCGGCACGGACAGGACCTCGCCCCACCCCCCTGGGTGCTGCGAAACCGTTCTCTCTGGCGCCCCTGCGGGGTCCAGAGGCGCGGTGCCACGCGCATGTCCGAGTGAGATTACCAGCCTGGAACATATCCCTATCCCTATGCTGGGCACCTCCTCATCACGATGCCATTCTTAGGGATTCCCTTATTTTTTGAAGGCGGATCCCTAAGATTGTCATCGCCTTTTGGCGTGTCGATCTTAGGGATAGGGATACGTTCGAGGCTGGTAATGCGACCTCGCCCTCCCTGTGCATGCGCGCCACTGCGACTTCTGGCGGGGCGCGGGGCCACGCAGACCCGAAGTGGACCGCACCCCCCCGCCGGATGGGGCCAGGCGTGCAGCGAAGCGCCCCGTGTGGGTTGGGACCGTCTGTGGACAGTGGGTGCCCGCATGGTGCTCTCACGCCTCACTATCGCCTGGGGAAGAGTGCGCACAGGGATGCGCGTCCCCCCTTCCTCGTCGCTCCCTGCTTGTCCCCTGCGGAGGCGGAAGAGCAGGGATGGCTTCAGTGAAGGCGAGCACTTCACTGCATGGAGAAGCCCTCCGTGGCGGAAGCCTGAGAGCAACTCCACTCCTAAAAAACGCCCCCACGATCCCCTTCCCTGCACCCCTCCCTCGTTCCCTCCGCAGTCTCTCCGCTGTCCCTCCTCTGCCTCGTCGACACCCCGCGCACGTGCATATTCATATGTTCCATACTTCGGACCAGTTCGCTGGCAAATCGAGCCCACGCCTGAACATTTACTCGCACGTGCAATGCCGAGCCTCCCAGAAGTCCGAAACTGGAGAAGGAGGACCGGGTGCAGGCCTGATTGAGCTGGGTAGACGGGAGTGAGCAGAGTAAGGAGGACGCGGAGGAGGCAGAGGACGAGGCAGGAGGGGTAGGATGAGGAGCAAGAGGCGGATTAGCAGAAGCGGGAGGCGATGGAGCGGGAGGGCGATGAGGAGGAGGAGGAGGAGGAGGAGGAAGAAGAGGAGGAGGAGCAGAACGAGCAGGAGGAGCGTGAACAGGAGTAGGGGAAACTGTCGGTTTGGGACGGGCCGAGAGACTGTAAGGATCCTCGCAGATGGTCTCCTCTACACCCCTGGCCATCCTGCGAACCACCATCACGAAACCGCGTAACACGATCGCTTCTGCAAAACAGAGGCGCAAATCAAAGCTTGAGATCAGCAGAGCCTGTCAGAAGTCTCGGAGAGGTTGACCGAGGTCTGGAGCAAACTGTCCCACAAGGCAAGCCTCGAGGTAATGGCAGAGCGTAGATACACAAACACAAGCAAATGCCCCGAACTGCGTTGGCATTCCGAACGCGAGGTGGTACGAACAAGCGCCGCAACAACACCCATCCCACAGACATGAAACCATTGCAAAACCGACGCGCGGCAAACAGATGATCCCTGGTGACACGGCAACTCCGTCGTAGGAGCGACGCTGCCGCCGCCCGACACATGAAGCACTTCGAGAAAATCCTAAGAATTTGTCGGTGTGTGCGAAGGGCTTGTCGTCCAATTGGCCCATTGCAGATTCTTCCTGCCTGCCTGTCGAAGCCGTCATGGCGTGAGACGGCTCCCTCAGGGGTTCCCCGGGCCGAGTCCGAGCTTGCCCGAGCTCACATCCCGTCCGAAGGTAAGCCCAGACGGCCCAGCACCCTGAAGCGATTGCACTATATTTGGCGTTCTCGCTCTCGGCCATGCGAGCGCCAAGAATCTGTCCCGAATGCCCTCGAGATCGCCCCACGACGGCCCCCGAGCCCCCAGGAGGAGTTCCAGAAGCCCGAGGAGGGGCCCAACAGGAGTGCCTCGAAGGGGGCCCCAATGTCCCTCATCCCAAGACTGAAGGGGCCCTGGGACACACAAATGAATACACACAAATAACAGGATTCGCTATGTTTTCTATATATATATATATATATATATATATATATATATATATACATATTGGGTTTTCGTCTTCCCCCCCACTTCCCATGTTTTCCCATATTTTCCTGGGAGTCGACGATTTACTGTGTCTGTGTGTTTTTTCCCTCCTGGGGGACAACGCCCCAGACCGGGAGCGAGCCCGCGAATAACGTCCCGGGGGGCCAGCCGCCAAGAAGCCCCCATAGGAATCTTCAAATCAGGACGTCGCATGTCTGGGGAAGACAACTATATGGAGGTACCAGTATCGGGGATGGACAGACCCCCTTTAGTAAAACGTGGTTTAGTGAAAACGACCTCGGGCCCAAACCTGGCGGGCGCAATCCTGGAAAATGACGGCCGCGGCGCCTTCTGGAGCACCGAAAACGGACGATTCACTAATCGACGTGTCAGGGTAGGAGGTCTGTCCACCCCCGACAAGAGCGCCCCTGGCCCTGTGGCCTTGCGCCGGCCGTGCACAAAACAGCACCTCATCGTCGGGCGCCGTGCTCGAGGGGGGGGGTGCTGCGACCCCTCCCCCCCCCGGTCGGCGCCGCCGCCGAGGCGTGGATGTTTTTCGCCTGGGTTGGTTTTCGCCCGGGTTGGCGTTCGCCCGGGTTGGCTTTCGCCCGTCGTGGCTTTCGCCCGGGTTGGCGTTCGCCCGGGTTGGCTTTCGCCCGGGTTGGCTTTCGCCCGGGATGGGTTTCGCCCGGGTTGGCTTTCGCCCAGGTTGGCTTTCGCCCGGGTTGGCTTTCGATCGGGATGGTTTTCGCCTGGGTTCGTTTTCGCCCTCCTCTTCCTCCCCTCCTCCTCCCGCTCCCGTCCTTTTATGCTGCTGCTGTTCTTTTCCTCCTCTCCTCCTCTGGCACCTCTTGCCCGCGGGCGGTTGGCTGAAGCTCCGTTGCGTTCCCGCAACGGCACTGGAAGTATAACACCCCGCCCTCTTCCCAGACGGCCTGACCTACACATCCACACTGCCCTTGCTCAGGGCCCCCTGAAGCCCAGGGTCAGTCAGTGCTACGTGCCCCCCTGGCAAAGCCAGACGCGTGCTCACTCGAGCGTGCCCCACACCTTAGTGCCCCGCCCGCCCGACCCAACCCGCCCGTCAGGGTTTGCCCGACCCGACTCGCCCCGCCCCGCCCGTTCGGGCCCGCCACCCGACCCGACCCGCCCGTCAGGGCTCACGCGTGCACACTCGAGCGCGCCCCACACTTTAGTGTCCCGCCCGCCCGACCCGACCCGCCCGTTTGGATCCGCCCGACCCGACCCGACCCGTCCCGCCCGTTAGGGTCCGCCCACCCGACCCGACCCGCCCGTCAGGGTTCACGCGTGCTCGCTCCGGCGCGCCCCACACTTTAGTGTCCCGCCCGCTCGACCCGACCCGCCCGTCAGGGTCCGCCCGGCCCGACCCGACCTGTCCCGCCCGTTCGGGTCCGCCCACCCGACCCGACCCGCCCGTTAGGGTTCACGCGTGCTCGCTCCGGCGCGACTCACACTTTAAAGTCCCGCCCGCCAGAGACGACCCGCCGACGACCCGCCCGTCAGGGTCCGCCCGACGCGACCCGACCCGTCCCGCCCGTCAGGGTCCGCCTGTCCGACCTGATACCCGCCCGTTAGAGTTCACGCGTGCTCGCTGCGGCGCGCCCCACACTTTCAGTGTCCCGCCTGCCCGACCCGACCCGCCCGTTAGGGCCCGCCCGACCCGACCCGACCCGTCCCGCCCGTTGGGGTCCGCCCGCCCTCACGCGTGCTCGCTCGGGCACGCCCCGCACTTTAGTGTCCCGCACGCCTGGCCCGACCCGCCCGTTAGGGTCCGCCCGACCCGACCTGATCTGTCCCGCCCGTTAGGGTCCGCCCGCCCGACCCGACCCGCCCGTCAGGGTTCACGCGTGCTCTCTCTGGCACGCCCCACACGTGTCCCGCCCGCCCGACCCGACCCGCCCGTTAAGTTCCGTCCGACGCGACCCGACCCGTCCCGCCCGTTAGGGTCCGCCCGCCCGACCCGACCCTGCTGTTAGGGTTCACGTGTGCTCGCTCCGGCGCGACTCACACTTTTAGTGTCCCGCCTGCCCGACCCGACCCGCCCGTCAGGGTCCGCCCGATGCGACCCGACCCGTCCCGCCCGTTAGGGTCCGCCTGCTCGACCCGACCCGCCCGTTAGCGTTCACGCGTGCGTGACCCACACGTTAATGTCCCGCCCGCCCGAACCGACCCGCCCGTTAGGGTCCGCCCGACCCGACCCGATCCGTCCCGCCCGTTGGGGTCCGCCCGCCAGGCCCGACCCGCCTGTCAGGGCTCACGCGTGCTCACTCGAGCGCGCCTCACACTTAAGTGCCCCGCCCGCCCGACCCGACCCGCCCGTCAGGGTCCGCCAGACCAAACCCGACCGTCCCTCCTGTTAGGGTCCGCCTGTCCGACCCGACCCGCCCGTTGGAGCCCGCGCCCATCCCCTGCGAAAGCCAACCCCTGCGAAAGCCATCCCCGGCGAAAGCCAACCCGGCGAAAATCACCCCCCGGCGAAAGCCAACCCCGGCGAAAGCCAACCCCCGGCGAATATCCCGGCAAAAGCCAACCCCGGGAGAAACGAAGCCCAGCGAAAGCCAACCCCCGGCGAGAAGCATCCGTGCCGTCGCCGAGGGGTGGAGCCAGGGGAGGGGGGTTCCCCTGATCCAAACTCGCGCTCCCCCCCTGCTCCCAACCGGCCGTACTACGGTGGGGGCATTGAATAAGGAACCATTGGAAAAGGAATCCAAAGTCTGGAAGCCAGTGGATCTCCAATCGCGGATTCGCAGTGGATATTACCGCCGCCCTCATCAGATAAGGAACCCTCCAGGCCCTCCAGGGTCTGAAGCCCCCCAGACACATTCCTCAACCAACGCCCCCGCCGTATGTCCGCCCTCTCCCTTGGAAGTCGTGAAGCGGGCCAGTCCGATGACCGCAGGAAACCTCAAAGACTGTCTGCGCCGAGGACCGCAGGAGCTTCCTGCTGTCTGCGACTGGTTGCGCCAAAGTCTGCGCCGAGGGGGCACGGAATCTTCGAACGTTCCGTTTCTGGTTGTGCCTCAGGCTGCACCGAGGATCGCCCAACCTCCAAGCCGATTGCTTTTGGCTGAGCCCGAGGTTCGGCCGAGGGCCACAGCACCTTTCGAGTGCTCTGGTACTGGATGCGCCGTGGTTGTGCCCTCGGATGTCGAAAACTGAACATGTCTGCTGTTGGTTGTGCCATCGGCTGCTTCCTTGGCCGCCGAACCAAATCACGGTGTGCTACTGGTTGCGCCAAATGTTGCGCCCTCGGCAGCCGAAATCAGAAACAATCCTCGATTGGTTGAGCCATACGTTGCGCCCCCCGTTGCCGAAATTACTATGAAATTATCGCTTACGCGATCGGTTGCGCCATCGGCTGCGGAAACGTAAAACGTCCTGCTACTGGCTCTGCGCCATAGATTGCATTCTCGCTTGTTAAACAACACAACCGTCTTGCTCACGGGTACGAACAATTCGTTCCAATTCAATCGTATTCAGGCAGTCGCACCTCCCGTGGACCTAAATGGAAATACGAGCGAAATGAGGCCAGCTGCCCTGCCGCCTGTGGATTCTGCAACGCGGCGAACCGAATGCTAGCAAAAGCGCGATGCTCAAGCGGGCGGCCTTCATTGTCATTACAAACATGGCGGCTTAGACAGCGATTGTTCGCCGCAGCCTTCCTGAGCGCTCGCCCGACCTGAGAGGGGATTAAGGCTGGCGCGTGAAGTCGGACTCACCACCGACCAGAACAGCCGCGCAAAACGATCCGCCGAGCCATCGCAGGCTGAACCGCGTGATTGCATAGTTTCCGCTGGAAGACAATCCACAACGTGCACAGACGCGATCCTTCCGCGTCTGGTTCGCAATTGGGCTGCGGAGACATTTGAGACAAGCGTCTTGACAACGACCGGTAGCAGAACTCGCTGGCCCAACGGGCCAGAGGCGTGCTAAGATGTCCGGTAACAGGTTTAGATTACATTTCTAATTCGCGCGCGCGGGGCCGCCCCTTGGGGTCCTTGGACGAAGAATACCCCGGGCGACTCGCGCGCGACTCCCGGCAAGGTGGTCTCAAGGATGCCGGAACTTCCGAGAGCGTTTTTTTTCGGCGCCCCCAATATTGCCCCAGGGGCGCCCAAAGAGACGCCAAGGGAGCTTCAAGAGGGTCCACGAGTCGGGATCAATGGGTGGCACATCTCAACGTGGCCCGACCACAATCCCAAGATGCCTCACGATAGGCTCAAAATGGCCCCGGAGAAGCCCAAGAGGGCCTTGCAAAATCTCAAGAAGCAAAACCAGACAAATTGCAATGGAAAGCGTATACTTCTAGCACGTCTGCTTCTTGCGTCCAAGACGGCCCTAGAGATAGGAAGGATCGCCCCAGGACGACCCCAGGAGGCGCGCAGAAGGGCCCCGAGAGGCACCCAAGCGGCCTCTACGAGGCCCCAGGAAAGCCAACGAGGCCCTAAGAGGCCCCGGGAGATCCCCCAAGATGCCCCCCGGGAGGCCACCAAAAGGCGCGGAGACGCCTCTGAGAGCTACCAAGACACCCCAAGTAGTCCCCTGCAGGCCCCGAGAGACCCGAAGAAAAACCGCAAAACG